GGATGGCATTCTCCTTATAGGGAATGACGTTCCTACCTTGCAAGACGTTAAGTCTTGGCTAGGAACGCAGTTTTCTATGAAGGACCTAGGAGAAGCGGCCTATATTTTAGGCATTAAGATCTATAGGGATAGATCGAGGCGTCTTCTAGGATTGTGTCAGAGTACTTACATCGATAAGGTCTTGAAACGGTTCAAGATGCAAGATTCCAAGAAAGGAACCTTACCGATGAGCAGTGGCACAGTTCTCTGCAAGAGTCAGTGTCCTACGACACCTGATGAGCGAGAACGCATGGATCGGATTCCATATGCTTCGGCAATTGGATCCATCATGTATGCCATGCTTTGTACTCGACTGGATGTATCATACGCGTTGAGCATTACGAGTAGATATCAGTCAGATCCAGGTGAGTCACACTGGATCGCCATCAAGAACATCCTGAAGTACTTGAGAAGGACTAAGGATGTGTTCTTGGTATACGGTGGGTCAGAAGACGAGCTCGCTGTAAGAGGTTACACCGATGCTAGTTTTCAGTCAGACCCGGATGACTACAGATCACAGTCTGGCTATGTTTTCTGCTTGAACGGAGACGCTGTTAGCTGGAAGAGTTCCAAGCAGGCGACCGTTGCAGCGTCAGACGCAGTAAAGGAAGCTGTTTAGATCAGGAAGTTTGTTGGTGACTTGGATGTCATTCCTAGTGCTGATAGCCCCATTGCTCTGTATTGTGACAACAATGGACGATCGCACAAGCGAAAGAACCCAAATCCCATCAACGATCCAAACACATACTCAGACGGTTTCACCTTATCAGGGAGATCATAGATAGAGGAGACGTGCATATTTGCAGGGTGTCGACAGATGACAACATTGCCGATCCGTTGACGAAGCCTCTCCCTTCGTCGAAGCATGAGGGTCATGTTAGGGATATGGGCATTAGATGTTTAGCAGTTCATGATTAGAGCAAGTGGGAGATTGTTGGTTTAGTGCTCTATGATGTACTGTTTATGAGCTTTATTTAGATACATTTGATGTATTGATACTTTCTATGGTTTATGAGAGTATTTGATTCATTACATGTTCTTACATACTAGAT